TTCATTATCAGAGCTTTCAGAGTTGCCAGAGCCACTTTAGAGTTTAATGGATGGTGATCATCCTAAGTCGAAAGAGTTCCTTGGCATGATCCGTAAATACAACAGCAGCTTTCAAATGACGTCATTTGGGACATCTGTGCCGATGCCACAGTCAACCGGATTCATGCCGACGTTCAAAATTCAAGGACAGGTGTATCATAAGGCTGGCTCACTCATGCCACTGCCAAATGAGGAATCGAAGTTCTTCCAAATCTACTTTCTTGGCGATGAAGAAGCTGAAGTTCAACGTCGTTGCAGTGTGATAACTGGCACCAGCAAAAGTTTGATTAAATCTCTGCAAAAGATGCTGCATGAACACAATAACTACGTCAAACAATTAAAAATGGCACTAGACGATAATCCGAGTGAGGACATGTAGATTGTAATTAAAGCGGACAAAAAACCAGTTGCAAGTCATGCACGTGTCTTCAATGCTCCAATAGTTAACGAAGTTGCCATCATTATCGCTGGAAATGAATTTGAGAAGCGTGATATTGTTCTGATGATGCGCACCAATCAACTTAAGAATATCTCCGAGACACACATATCGTATGATGCATTGCAATATCCATTAATGTTTCCACATGGTGAAGATGGATATGCCATCAACATTAATCAAGTGCAGCCTGGTACATCAAATCGTGTGAGCAAAATGGTGTCGGCAATGGATTTTTACGCTAATCGTTTGATGGTTCGTCTGAACGAGAATCGTTTACTGAATTACCGACAACTTCTGCATCAATATTTGGTCGACATGTATGCAAAAATCGAGACTGAACGGTTGCTTTTCAATTGACAAACGAACATTTTCGAACGTTCTATTCAATTGACAAATGCATGAATGAAGACGAGGCAACCAGTTATCCAGTAGAGTTTCTGAACTCACTAAGCCCAAATGGTATTCCACCACACAAATTGGAATTGAAAGTAGGATCGTCCGTCATGCTGCTTAGAAACATGGACCCACCGAAATTTTGCAACGGAACCAGACTGACGGTGAAAGCTTTACACACATATGTCATCGAGGCAACGATTTTAACTGGACCGTTTGAGGGGGAACACGTTTTCATTCCAAGAATTCCATTCATTCCAACCGATTTGCCATTTTCGTTTAAGCGATTGCAATTCCCTGTTCGACTGGCATTCGCAATCGCCATCAACAAATCGCAGGGACAATCGTTGAAAGTTACTGGACTGGACTTGACGGATGAATGCTTTTCGCATGGACAACTGTATGTGGGAATGTCAAGAGCGAAGGACCCGACAAAGTTGTATATTGTCGCCAACGAAGATGGAGAAACAAGAAATGTTGTCAAGTGTTGAAATAATCACAATATGAATAAATTTGTGATGGTTGAATAAGTGAAATCGATATGACTGGGCATTTTTCATTATTCTACTAAGCATAAACTTTTTCAGATTAGGTATGATCAAGTATTGAAATAAATTTTTACATTTTGTAAAATCATAGCAACACAGACTTTGAAATTTGTTTTGTATTTCAAATTCTCTCTCGACTATTCCACGATCGTTAGAAATAGAAGATGAAAGTCAATAAAAGATATTTCTTTTAATTAATTGTTTTAATTTCCCGAGCGAAGCCGGGTAGTAAGGCTAGTGAAGATATAAAAGAAACACAAAAATTCAAGAAACGTGATTTCTTCTTCAGATCAAACTTTTCTTTTAAATCATATAGACTCGTCGGAGTTTGAACTTCGACTACACCATCTTTTTTCGTATGAATGATTACTGGTGATGACCATGGGGATGTAGAGGGGCGTATTTGTTGGTTCTTCAACATTTTTTTAAGTTCTTCTTGCAGTTCATGTCTTTGTTGGATCGTTTTGGGATATGGTTTGGATCGTTATGTAGATATGGTCGTGAACTGATAGATAGACTATCGCCCGTGTTTATTGTATGTGCCACTGAAACCGTTGCTTGGGTAATTTTTGAGATATCAAATATCTTCTCATAAGAAATTCTGCTGTCGATTATGAATGTGTAATTAATTTCTCAATAATATCCGATGTTGAAGAAGATATCTTATTATTCAATGAATCCATATCTGTAATATCTGTAGAGGATATACTTTGATTAACACGGCTTGCGAATGCATTAAATGAAAATTCTATATTTGACGGTGTGTGTGTAACATGATCCAAGGGGGAATTCATATAGAGAGTTCGTGTATAATCGCTTGAATTATATATTGTCAAAAATGTTGTATAACTATGGACTTGCACCATAGCAGATAACATCAATATTGATTTATCTTGTTGGATATCGAAAGTAGGATGTTGGATATATTCTGTAGGAGAACTCTGAAATTCTTATTCTGTATACTAAATACATGTTCACATCATGTCTTTCCTCTCTCTAACGATTTGTTAGATTAAACAAAAACAACAAGTCTGCAAAAGACTTGAAACTGATCCATCACCTTTTATCGCTCCAATGGATCTAAAACTCACCGAAATCACCTTGTTAAATGATTTTAGTTCTTTTGAGTGCATGTGGATGGATCTATCCAGCGAAAGTTATCATTATGACTCTTATCATAAATGAATTTTTCTCTGCAATCAATCAATAGTTAGTCTAGTATTACACACCATTCGATGTGTCTTTACTACCCTAGTCATCGATTCTTCTAAAGGAATCAGACAAAAATCTTACTGAAAACTTATAGGGATCCTATGAGATCCAGGTAAGAATCTTATCACACTCTTACAAGATTCGTATATAAGAAAACGCTCGAAAGTGCCACAAATTTCGTAAGAGTCTTAAAAGACTCTGATAAGAGATTAGATACGAAGAAAGTTGTGAGCACGATATCTCGCATGTATGCATAAATTCCACTTTTTCAAACTGATCTTAAGCAAAATACGAAGCTTCCGATCTTTTTTCCTGTATAAAGGTGGCATTCAATTCGGACTCTCAAAAGTTTCGTAATGAAATAACACAAATAAAATCATTAGCAGAATTGGTAAGAACGAATCCATGTATCTTTTTACTGCGGAAGGTCATGCTACAGTTTAATGAAAAAGCTAAATTTATTTCTGACTTTGTTTTTTTTAACCTTCTGTTTATAGCTATTGTAATCCATGGAAAGAGAAAAGAACAGAAAGCAAAGAAAAAAAGTGTTACTATTTTCACGATATATCGTACGAAAGCAAATCAGACTACACTTTCTGCCTTTATTGACATATACAGTATTCTTTTAACTATTTGAAAATCAAAATAGAGGCTTTTCATTTTTGTTTAGATAGAAACAGATAGAATGTTGTCAGCTGTTGATCAGGCTTCTAATCAGGCTTCTAATCATGGTCTGCTTACGGCTGCTATCAGTTCATTGTTAGGTTATACGACAATTAACGAGTCAAAGGTTTCCACTGCTTCTAACAAACCAGCAGCAGCAGCAATCAATCTCTTGACAATTTATCCATCTTGTGTGCCATCAGTTAACGGACAAACTTATCGTAATTGTTCACAAATATTTATTGAAGTACTAAACAAGGCAAAGAAAATTGCATTGGATGTTGAACCAACTGATACAATTTTGGATATTAAAAAACAATTACTTACAAAACTTAATTTACCATCGTTGAAACGACAAAGATTATCATATCTCAATAAACGTTTATTTGATCATCTAACACTTTTTGATTATCAAATTCGTACACATAGTGAACTGCAGTTGTATTTGAACCAGACGGATAGCATACAACTTTTTATAAAAACACTAACAGGAAAAACAATAACAATAGAAGTAAATTCGCACTCACCAATTGAGAATGTTAGAGTTGAAATTGAAAAAAGTGAAGGCATTCCTCCAAATTCACAACGACTGATATTTGGCAAACAACAGCTTGAAGATGGACGAACACTGTC